ACGTGGGGTTACGCCTTAAAGAAAAAAAAAAGAATGCTGCTACGGCACTCTCGCTAGAGTCGTCGGTCGATCGGTCTCTATTCATTTTCTCTATTCATTTAAGATGGCATGTGCCACAGGTGCTACTTCCACGAAGACAACGTGGTCCAAAGATGAGACACAGGCGCAAAAATAACTTATATAAGTTGTGCTACAAATCCGTCAATTGCCACTGCCATCATTTTCAAAGTACACTTCGCTTTCTCGTGTAGCAGCGAGCCGCCGAAATGACACTTCGTGAGTGTAAGTACATTCGCTCAAAGTGCACTCAAGTTGCCACGTGTGACAAGGGTATTAGACATGCCGGTCGATCACAAAAGGCGCAGTAGCAAAAAGGAGCACAATTTGGCCGTCCGCGATTGTGTTTCAAGTTTGTTTGGCACTGGGTTGAGGAGATAAGGGCAGTAGCATTGGCGAGCAGCATTGGCGAAGGAACGAGTGCTTCCATAAGGATGGCGCAGCTTCCTTTGCAGCGGGCTGAGTCGCCACGCTCGCAGCTTCGCAATGCCACCATATATGCCACAGGCAGAGATCGTACAGTGTGCCCAGCAATCGCGCGGCGGCATTCTGGCGTGTCTCTCGCTTGACAAAACACTCACTTTCTCGAGATTCGCCCGTAGACGCCGTTTCCATACTAAAGTGCGCAAGAAAAAGACGTTCAATGAAAAGAAGGAGGAGATGCTGGCCTGGACAGCGGGTTTCTAGCGTGCTACTCTTTACGGGGCTAAACGGAAATAGAAAGAAAGAAGTAGGCATGATGAGAGGTGACTGTGGTACATGTTATGGTATTAAGGTATTATGTTCTAGTATGGTATATTGCGTCCCCCTGCACAGACTGTCCTGTGCGAGGCAGGACGCGCTCGAAAGTCTCTATACATTACCTAAATTAGCCCATGCTCTAAAGACAGTGCAGCAGTATTCCTATTTAGAAGAAAGACCTTGGATGCCTCCTGAACCTCGAAAAGTGACCGTGGGTGGTAGTCCAAAGAGTGACGTGATCGCAAATGACGTCGTCTATTACGTCGTCATAACGCCACACATAGCGAAAACTTGTGGCAACCCTATGAGATCACATAGCCAGCCTTGTTTGGCTAAGAACAAAAAAAAAAACGGCTATGAGTTTACGAGAATTAATAAAGAACCCCGTGACTTATTGGCTGCTTCACTGCACCTGAAGCCCTTGATGACGTGTAAACGCTGCTATTTCACGCAGAATCTACATTCCATGGGCGGTGGTGGTGGTAGTGGTTAGAAGAGAAAAAAGGCCCCTAATTTCTGCAGCCCGGTAAGGAGTACGGCACAGTGCGTGAGTGGGTGACGAGGCGTTACCGTGGCAACATAGTCTTATCCAATAGGAAGGACGAAGGATGCGCGGAAAATGTGTGGTCAACGAAGGACACGACCTCTCTCTACTGCGTTGGAGCCTCCGCTTTTGGAGCCTCCACCCAAGGAGGAATTTTTAATCCTCCTTGCCTCCACCGAAGCTATCACTGCTGTAACTACTGAGTGTCGTGGTTCAATGTTTCGCGTCACTGCTCTTACACGGCGGTACCGCTTCAGTTAGCGGCTGAGTGAGCTGGTGATTTAAGAAAGTGCAAATCGCGCTATTGTGCCCCCTTCCGCAGCTGTAATGGTAACGCAATGGTTAGGTCACACGGCACCTATCGTCGTGCACCGACAAGTTGTAGGTTTGATCCCCCGGTGTAAACCCACGGGAAAAATAAGTTTCTTCCTGTTTTTCATTCATGACGCCCTCGGTGGTTATTTGCTGACGCCATTCCATGACGGAAATAACGTCGGTGGAGTATCGCTAGACCTCGATATAAAAGATTTCTTGTTAAACGGACACTAAAAAAAAAACCAGTGACTTGCTTTAGATTGATGAACTGTACTCTGAGCACTCTAACGTCGTAAGCTTCAACATCATATACAAGTTCATTCTTGGAGTAATTTGAGGTTGAGGTTTCAAGTTGAAATTTCGAGCCACACCTCCGCACATGACGTCACTAATTTCAACACGTGTTTTTCGTGTTTTTGTGACACTGGGTCGATGAACTTTTCTGAAACTTCGTATTTTAGGTCTATGGCCCCAACAGATGACAATGCCCTTTCCTTTTACATTTTAGGAGCACCTAAAAGATAACATGGTGTTTGGTGTGTGAATCTCAAGGTGGCGTCTTCACCTGCATTTTCTTTTCGCGTGTTTGCTAGCTTACCAAGCGTCGTCGCGTTTTAATCTGGCCGTTTCGCCGTTGTGGAATTGTTCCTCACCAATACCGCGAAAAATCCTTTTCCTCCTTAGTGTCCCTTTAAAGGGGAAAGAAAGGAGTGACGTGGAACTGAGAATTCATGCTTAGTGTGGATCGTTCTTTCTTTTTTTCTTTCCTTCATTCTTTCCCTCTTTCTTTTTTTCTTTTTTCTTTCACTAGTTCTTTATATATTTATTTATTTCCTTCCTTTCTTTCTCTCTCTTTCTTTCTTGCCTGGCTTGTCCTGTCTTCACTGATACGCCCCGAAAACACTTTTTTTCTGTCCCTCTCACTACCTCTGATTTCATCCCATCAGTGTCGTTTCTCGACAGCTAGCACCGCTTTCCCTACTCCCTTCATTCTTCCTTCATTCAATTTATCTGCCCATACGTTTGCGAAAAGTTGAAGGACAGCTCAATTTTACGGCTCAATGAAGGCAGTTTCAACAGCATCGACAACTCGGTGGGCTCACTTTACGCAAGACGCGCGGGGTAGATTTAGTTCGTGCCTACAAGCCGCGACATTCAATCCGAAAAGTGCCGCAAGTGGCTACGCGCGAACAATGCTTGAGGGCATGCTTGATCGTACGGCACTAAAAGCGAGAGAAACCGGAGTGGAAGGGATTTAAAAAAAAAACATCGAAAAAGGAGGAGCCCGGCTCTCGACCGTCCCTGTGTAGGCCGTGCGCGGACGAGAAATGCGGAAACTCTCGCGCGCGCTTGTTTCCGCACCGATGGAGGCGCGCTCGACCGTGGCCGCCGACAGCGCACGGCAGCAGCAGCAGCGTTCAGCGATGTATCTGAGCGTCCCGCCAGTCCTGGCCGGGCACTTACGATAGCGACGTAAACAATGTGGCCACTGCGTGGTCGCCACAGAGACGGCCATGTTCACGAAGACGCTTTCACTCGACAGATGAATAGCAAAGCGCGCGCTGCGCTGAAGCCTTTTTTGTTATGTTTGTTGTTTCTCCAGGACGAGCGGGACATGGGCAGTGCATTGATGATTTGTTGGTTTGAAGAGAATGGCGATTCGATCAGTGACTGATAAATGAGTTATACAAATGTTTGAGATAGGAAAATTAATCATTGAGTTGGTCGGTCCATTTATTGTCAAGACAGGCACAGAATCGTCACTACAATAGGCCAGTTTATTACCAAGACAGGAACTGAGTCGTCACTGCAATATGTTGGTTTATTGCCATGAAATGAACTGAATGGTCACTACAATAAATTTAGGGCCCATCAGCCGATCAAACACCGAATCAATCAACAATCAATTGATTTGATCGGCGAACATTTTGCTTTCCTCTGTTGCCATGCATTGCTTTGCTTGACCCTCTTATGCTTCCTCTTGAACAGATGCAGTGATTTTCCGATTTCCACATTGTCACGGGATCGCGACGTCGTCTTCGAAGGGAGCAGGCTATAGGTCCAAGATGAAACGGTATTTGGCCAAAATTGAGGCCGGTGAACTGAAAGTCGGGTTACAGCGATACACATTGACGCTGATAATCGGCGAACTTAGCACCGGCCATCGATCAGCTGACAAGCGGTGAAGCGCGTCGGCATTGATACATGTGCAGTCGAATATTCCAGCCTTATCACTGGTCGTCGCGCCCACTCTGAAATAATCTCGAGAGTAAGCGTCTTGCGCGCCGTATTGACAGAACGATCTACAATAATCGCGAACCTTCTCCAACAATGAGGCGCAGTTTGCGCTAAAAATTTCTGACAGGCTTTGTGGGCGAAAACCGAATGAAACAAAAGTGGAAACAAGAAGCGTGCGTGGCAATATTCTCTCTTGCGTTCGGCATAAAGGCATCGACACCACTGAATAAAAGTGTTGTTCTGTACCCTTTACATCGCATACAAAACAGATATTAAGCTACCCTACAGAAGAATTGACATTTGGTCGAGTTGCACGCAGTTAATTGTGTTGAGGAGACATAACGCGAAGGCGTGTTTAAGGTCCTTCAATTTTAAGACCCGTACTTTCGTGCACACCTGTGTCCCAAAGCATTGTGTACAGGATCGAGAAATAAAGAAGCTAGAACAGCGGTCAACAAAACACACGCATGGTTTACTACCCTGCAAATAGGAGAAGAACGAATGGTGAAAAAAGATATATAATATAGAATAGAGGTATAGAGCGTCGCGCACACACAATAGCATGAGCACACTAGTCTGCCTCTTCAATTTTCCTGTGCTGCCCTCTGCCGTTTTCGCAGTATTTTGGTAGGCGCCGGGACAACCTATGTTGCCAAGCAAAATCTGCAAGATAAAGAGATGTTTTGCGACTTTTCCGCTATAGAGAAACGGCGCATGCGCTGAGGCATCGGGAAAAAGGCAGGTTCTACAGGCGGACTCACAGACGCAGCGGACCACTCTAGTTTCGCCAACAACGTCTTCATTGCCTCCGGCACCATCAACACAACCGTGAATAGTCGAAGAATGCTAGCTGCCGCAATATGGTCTCCACTTCAGTCAGTTTACTAGCATCCATAACGGGTATCCTTGTGTGTCGCATACCGAGCTCAGCTCCGCCGATTATGCCTTGTTCTTGTGCCTGTGGCAATTGCCAAATGACCCCGAATACATGACCACGTGTTTCGTGCAGGTGGTGGCGGTGTGGCGTGTGTAGCGTGGTGAGGTTGCGGGGGCGTGTGGCCCAGAGCCCCCCTTCCATCCAGAGGACCATGCCCTTGGGCGCATCATGGCGTCGGCCAGCGACGACCCGATCGCGTTCTGGCTGAAGCTGGGTGCGCTCGACAAGCTGGAGCAGGCGCTGCTCGACGGCTACGGGGACCAGCTGCGAGGGCGCTCCTCGCGCATCCCGCAGGTGGCCCGCTTCCTCAAGCAGGTGCCCGCCGTGCAGGTAGGTGGTCACATCGTGTGCTTCATCATTTGCCAATAGTGTAAGGTTATGGTGCACTCGGTACGCGATCACGATTACTGTAGCGTAAACGGGTGACAATAGAGGGTCAAATGAGTCCAACAGATCAATAGGGAGTGTCAGAGTTCTAGCCTCAGCAGAAATTCACTGAGGAAGCCGCTACGTAGCCTCTTATATGCTTCTCCTTTACACTCGCCTTTTCAGTTGAGATCAGGTGGTAGCTTTGTACACAATGGCGCGCTGCTTTGAACGATATTGCGCCCTGGCTCCGATATTTGTCAAAATATACCGCTGTGATCGCCTTTATCTGCAAAACATAAGGTCATATAGAGTCGATTCTCGGCCTCAAAGGCTGTATTTTGGGGAAAGCGAAACGAACGAATATAATGTGCTGAAGGCTCTACTGCTGGTTAAGTAATCCCAAATGGTGAGAATTTCATCCGGATCCTACCATTATGTTGCGTCTTCGAGCTTACTGTTTATTTTTTAATACAGTAAATCTTACAAACAGCCAGTAGCAATAAAAGCTAACTCTATGGCGGAAATAAAGCAAAATGTCTCGGATTTGTAACGCAATGTATGTGGTACTGTACTAAGTTGCTTCATCATAAACCCACTGTCCCCTTTACAAAATGAAAATAAGACAACGCGTTATGCGACGACCGCACCACTAAACATTGGGCCAACGTTCGCAGTTGATCCTATCGCGCTTAACTTTTACCGCATGTGGACGAGTTCAATATATCTCACCTCTGGATAAAGGATTGTAAGCTTGTGTTACAGTGAAAGCCTTCGACAAGTCATTTGTAATGAAAAGCAACAGTCAATGAAGCCAAGGAAAGTATGGGAGACGTTGTTTTAGCAGCTATATAAATGTTGAAAAACTATGCGGGCGATAAGACTTGCCACCGGCAAGAAACACGAAAAGTGACTGTAGGCGTCAGCGCGAACACGAGTGATGCAAAAAATAGTCATCATGAAAATACGTCATGCTATGGCGACGTCACGATGTCACAGGTCACCAAAGTTTGTGGCGTTATTGTGACGTCACCTTGACGCCAGATAATGTGACACTGCACGACGACAACGTATTATCACGTCATCACTAAGTTAAAGGTGGCGCGATTTTGGAGGCACTGCAAGTCCGCGTTAACTGCAGATATACACCGCCTCCGATAACGGAGGCAATGCAAAACCACGTTAGACGCAGGGAGCTTTCGCGGGTGATTATCACAACCAGCTGCTAATAGAAAGTAGACGGTTTTCACCACCAAGTCCTTCTAGGCGATTGCATGAAGAACCGCATGACTTTCATTACCCCTTTGCAAGGTTTCAATGCGTCAATCGAACATCATCAACATCATCATCATCATCATCAGCCTGACTATGTCCACTGCAGGACAAAGGCCTCTACCATGTTCCGCCAGTTAACCCGGTCCTGTGCCTGCTGCTGCCACTTTATACCCGCAAACTTCCTAATCTCATCTGCCCACCTAACCTTCTGTTTCCCCCTAACCCGCTTTCCTTCTCTGGGAATCCAGTTAGTTACCCTTAATCGCCAGCGGTTATCCTGTCTACGCGCTACGTGCCCGGCCCATGTCCATTTCCTCTTCTTTATTTCAACTATGATATCCTTAACCCCCGTTTGTCCCCTAATCCACTCCGCCCTCTTCTTGTCTCTTAAGGTTACACCTACCATTTTTCTTTCCATTGCTCGCTGCGTCGTCCTTAATTTAAGCTGAACCCTCTTTGTGAGTCTCCAGGTTTCTGCTCCGTAGCTAAGTACCAGCAAGATACAGCTCTTATATACCTTCCTCTGAAGGGATAATGGCAATCTACCTGTCATAATTTGAGAGTGCTTGCCGAATGTGCTCCACCCCATTCTTATTCTTCTAGTTACTTCAACCTCCTGGTTAGGCTCTGCGGTTATTACCTGCCCTAAGTAGACATAATCTTTTACAACTTCAAGTGCACTATTACCTATCTCGAAGCGCTGCTCCTTTCCGAGGTTTTTGTACATTACTTTCGTTTTCTGCAGATTAATTTTAAGACCCACCTTTCTGCTCTCCTTGTGTAACTCCGTAATCATGAGTTGCAATTCGTCCCCTGAGTTACTCAGCAATGCAATGTCATCGGCGAAGCGCAGGTTACTAAGGTACTCTCCATTAACTCTTATGCCTACCTGTTCCCATTCTAGGCTGCTGAAAACCACCTGTAAGCACGCGGTAAATAGCATTGGGGAGATTGTGTCCCCCTGCCTTACACCCTTCTTGATTGGTATTCTGTTGCTTTCTTTGTGAAGAACTATGGTAGCAGTTGATCCCCTGTAGATTTCTTCCAGAATGTTTTTATATATTTCATCTACGCCCTGATTCCGCAGTGTCTGCTTGACGGCTGATATTTCTACTGAATCAAACGCCTTCTCGTAATCTATGAAGGCTGTGTATAGTGGTTGGTTATACTCTGAGCATTTCTCTATTACCTTATTGATAGTATGAATTTGGTCAATTGTTGAGTAGCCTGTTCGAAATCCTGCTTGTTCCTTTGCTTGATTGAATTCTAATGTTTTGTTTACTCTGTCAGCAATTACCTTTGTACATAGCTTGTACACTACAGCGAGCAAGCTGATCGGCCTGTAATTCTTCAAGTCCTTGTCATCTCCTTTCTTATGTATTAAGATGATGTTAGCGTTCTTCCAAGACTCTGGTACCCTTCCCGTCAGGAGGCACCTCGTAAACAGGGTGGCTAGTTTTTCTAACACAATCTGTCCTCCATCTTTCAGCAGAACTGATGTTACCTGATCCTCACCAGCAGCTTTGCCTCTTTGCATGCTCTCCAAAGCTTTTCTGGCTTCTTCTATCATTACTGGTGGGGTGTCATCTGGGTTACTGCTAGTTCTTGTAGTATTAAGGTCGTGGTTGTCTCGGCTACTGTACAGATCTCTGTAAAACTCCTGCGCTATTTTAACTATCCTATCCATATTGATAGTTATTTTGCCTTCTTTGTCCCTTAGTGCATACATTCGACTTTTGCCTATCCCAAGTTACCTCTTCACTGCTTTGAAGCTTCCTACGTTTTTCAGAGCGTGTTCAATTTTCTCCAGGTTATACCTTCTTACATCGCATACTTTACGTCTAATAATCAACTTCGAAACCTCTGCCAGTTCTATTTCGTCTGTTGTACTTGACACTTTCATGATTTGACGCTTGTTAATTAGGTTCTTCGTTTCCTGGGAAAGCTTGCCAGTGTCCTGTCTAACTACCCTGCCTCCAACTTCCACTGCACACTCCGTAATGATACTCGTCAGATTATCATTCATTGTATCTACGCTAAGGTTGGTTTCCTCACTAAGAGCCGAGTACCTGTTCTGCAGTGACACTCTGAATTCCTGTACTTTCCCTCTCAGTGCTAGCTCATTGGTTGGCTTCTTGCGTATCAGTTTCTGTCGTTCCTTCTTCAAGTCTAGGTGAATTCGAGACCGTACCATTCTATGGTCACTGCATCGTACCTTGCCAACCACTTCCACATCCTGCACGATTCCTGGGTGTGCAGTCATTATAAATTCTATTTCGTTCTTATTTTCGCCATTAGGGCTCGTCCATGTCCACTTGCGGTTTTCTCGTTTTCGGTAGAAGGTATTCAAAATCCGCAAATTATTTCGTTCTGCGAATTCTACTAGTAGCTCTCCTGAGGCGTTTCTAGTGCCGATGCCATAATCCTCTACTGCCTGGTCTCCAGCCTGCTTCTTTCCTACCTTTGCATTAAAGTCGCCCATCACATCACTATAGTATACTGTGTTTTTACCTTACTCATTGCCGATTCCACGTCTTCATAGAAGCTTTCAACTGAAGCGTCATCATGGCTGGATGTAGGCGCGTAAGCCTGTACTACCTTCCTCTTGTATCTTTTATTCAGTTTAATTACAATACCTACCACCCTTTCATTAATGCTATAATATTCCTCTATGTTGCTATGTTTCTGTGAATTAGGAACCCCACTCCCAGTTTTCTTCTGTCTGCCAAGCCCCGATAGCAAAGGACGTGCCCATTCTGTAGCACCGTATAGGCCTCATCTGTCCTCCTAACCTCACTGAGCCCTATTATATCCCATTTAACACTCTCTAGCTCCTCGAATAGTACAGCTAGACTTCCCTCACTAGGTAAGGTTCTAGCGTTAAACGTTGCCAAGTTCATAGTACAGCTAGACTTCCCTCACTAGATAACGTTCTAGCGTTAAACGTTGCCAAGTTCAGGTTCCAATCGAACGCGTGAGCGTAAATATTTATAAAGACGTCTGTTTAACTCTTCGATCGTTGGGCAGGCGCAGATGGAGGACATGCACGAGGGCGCCATGCAGGGCCGCTTGGAGGAGGTGCGCAGCTTAGCCGAAGAACGTCGCCAGTTGGCCTACTGCCGCGACCAGCAGGGCGCTAGTCCGCTGCACAAGGCCGTGCTCTTCCACCAGCGCCCCTTGGTCGCCTACTTCGTGCAGCATTTCCCCGCAGTCATGCACTCCAGGGACCACGTAAGTCATCTTGCACAAATGGTTTCCTGTGGAAGGTGTAGAGATCGGGTCTGTTCTCAGATGCGACTCATTTGAAAGAGGCGTTGCCTATATATGGAGTATTGTGATGTTACACGTAATCGCTCGTCACCCTTATCAACTTTAAACTATAGAACGTTGATTCTGACAACTCTTATCCGCCATGGTGCTTCGATGGTTATGATGATCGACAGCTGACCATTACAACGACCCCTTCTTTTGTCTTCGTTCTTCTAGCGTCCGTATTTAAAAGGAAGTTTTGGCACGGAATGTAAGTTTTTGCAAGCGTGCGTGAGCTACTGGCTTGTGCATTGGATCTTAGAAGACATGAGGGGCACTTGGAGAAATTATTCGCTTATCAAACGCGATTTTAGTTGGCGTCATGGTGAGAGCAGTTAGCTCTTGGCGATGGGGTAGGTTACCTCTGTGTTTCCTTTTTCTTTATTCTATCTTCACTGCTATAACAGCGACCATGCTCAGTACGTATAACGTCGACAAAGCGAACACAACGTACGCTGCTCCCTTCCGCATTTGCAGCAAGGGAGGACGCCCCTTCACTACGCGGCCGTTCTGCAAGACAAGGGAGAGATCTACCGTATGCTCAAGACGGCGGGATCTGACGAGAACGCCACCGATGTGGTGAGTGAACGCACCTATGGCGTGACCCTGTCGGTGACTGAGCGAGTTCCTCATGGCCGCGGCTTTGTCATCGGGCTCTGTGGGACCTCGAGTGCACTTAGTCGCTTAAACATAACAACAAATGAGCTCCGTCCCCAGTACTGCAGTGTGCCGCCATCCACCTGGGATGGTGAACCAGTCATGCTAGGTGGTTTCCGCCGTAACGGCTGGTAATCTTCCGCAGCTAATGTTAATAGTGCGCATGTTAATGTACGTTCTTGGTCCCTATATATACTTCAAACATTACGTTTACCCGAGCTGTAATGTGAGAACGTTTGCTGACGGCTATTTAGCTATCGCCAGTAGCTCGAACGCTGCTCCACCGATTTTATCAACAGAATTGTCTGGCCATAAAGTGCAGTTTATGAGCATATCATACAATCTAATGTACGGGTGAATGATCAAAGACGCTGATGCAGCGTCTGTTGCTGTCCTGTGATAGAGGACCTCACATGGTTCTGTGAGCGCTTCACATAATACGCCGACACGGATAACCCAGTTCATTCTGCTGTGAACATTTAAATCCGTGTAATCTAGTACGACGCAGCGAGAAATACAAAGAAAAATGATAGGTGTAATCCCGAGGGAATAGAACAAGCAGAGCGTATCAACGAACAAACGTGTTAAGCACATCACATGCAGTCTAAACCAAGAAGAAGAAATGGTCATGGGCAGGGCCCGTAGCGTGAAGGCAAGATAACCGCTCGTCATTAAGGATCACGGACTGGATTCCAAGAGAAGGCAAGATAGTGAAGGAGAGACAGAAAGTTAGGTGGGCAGATGAGATTAGGGCATTTGCGGGTATAAAATGGCAGCAGTAAGCACAGGACCCAGTTGACTGGCGGAACATGACAGAAGCCTTTGTCCTGCAGTGGGGGTAGTGAGGCTGCTGCTGATGTTGACGATGAGATGGTGATGATGACGGTGTTCAAACTTCCAATAATTAAAAAAACGATTATTACATAGAGAGTATGCATTAACGTCATTGCCGTTTTTGATACATCTATTCAGTATATCTGGTATTGCTTGCACCAATAGTATTTTTACCGCGTTGCTATCAGCACTGCCCTACATGCTACATTATCTATATTCTGTGACTCCTGTACTAATTCAGATGGGCATATGTTCATGGCACAAAAAAGCAAAGTATGTAAATAATAGGTAATAATAAATGACATTCTTTACGCAGTATGGTCATACACCGGACTTCTATCTCGACGCACCGGGCGAGCTGACGCTGGAGCAGCTCAAAGAAGGCAACTTGTCGAGTCGTTCTAAGAAGGCCAAAAATCGAAGAAGGAAGTCGGGAGACAACAGCACTGCCAGCGTTCGTGGATACTCCGCGAGTAAGTAGAATAAAAGGTTACCCTTCGTGTTAACTTATTGATTATTTTTTTCCAGTGTAGATTAACAACACTCCTAATGGTCTCAACTATATACCTGGAACAAATTTGAGAAATTTTCGCATAGTGGCTTTAAATGAAAACAAAAATGCGGTTGTCCGTCCGTCACAGGAATTGGTATAAGACGAAAGTGAACTATGTCTCCACAGGGATATAGTTAACCGTTTACTCTTCATCTATGTATGAGAGCTCGTCCAATGTATATCGCTGCTTGGCAAATATAGCACCGGTTTGACGTGAACGTAACAGCGTGTCCTTGTGCTTTTTCGTGTGCTTTCTCATGCTTTTTTTTGCGTGTGATAATGTGTGTGGGGTAGCTTGCTTTATGTTTCCTGTCCTTAAGTAGATTATTTGGCGCGCACGTGTGTGGCAGATAGTTTTTGCCAGTGGTGTGACAGCGCCAAGGTGTGGTGGGCCGCCGAGCAGCTTGAATGCGAGAAGAAGCGCTTCTAAGGAGCACCACGTGCTCCCCTGTCATCTACTGTGTCGGCAAGCGTATGATTCGTTATATAGCACTTCTTTTTTGTCACAAACGAGGGCTAAAACAGGAGCGTGCCTCTGCATCCACACGAAAGCATCAAGCCACAGCGCCGACCATTCCCCCTCAACAGGCTAGCGCGACGAAAAAGAAAACAGCTTTCAAAAGGCACCCAGGGCGTGCCCTTACCCTCTACGCAAGCGACAGCCCTACGCCCGTGCAGATCGGGATAATTCGAGACATCCTAGTGGGGGAACCTTTGGAGCCGACCATTTCCGCAGACGATCCGGCTCGACTAATCCTTTTCCCCTAGCTTTCACTGTGGTACGTGTTACGCGCCGAACAATTACTTGGAATGTTGGAAAGGATCCAAATGGGAGATGACGGAGGGTAGGATGGGATCTCGGCCAAGAAATTTTGTTATTTGAGCGGTTCGAGTGAGCCGTGCAGTGTGGTCAGTCGATCTTGAAAAATCGAGTGACTCTAACGCCGTGGGTACACTTTTCCTAAGAGTGTCGCTGGGACGTCGATCAGCACTGCAGTTCGTTTGAGTGTTTCCTGGAAGAGAGATGTTTGAGAAACATTCGAATAATTGTGGACTACAGCCACGTGGTAAATATTCAAGGTTTATACGCGTTCTTGTACAGTTTGTAATACGTAAGGTCACATTTTTAGCACGGTACTTTTGTTCTCGTTCTTTTAAATGCCCTCTAAGGGATTTTGTACGTGTGCTCTAATTTATACCTGCCGAGTGTGGAAGTTTTTCTGATGCTTGTGCTGCCTTAACGGAGAAGCAGTTTTAGGAGCGAAGCTCCTTAAGGCGTGGGCTGTGCGTCCCCTGTATGTAGCCACCTCTCGTTCAGTTCTAAGTATTACGCTAGCCACCTCCCGATCTAAAGGGTACAGCCATATCCATCCGTCCATCCGTCCATCCGTCCGTCCGTCCGTCCGTCCGTCCGTCCGTCCGTCCGTCCGTCCATCCATCCATCTGTCCATCCGTCCGTCCGTCCGTCCGTCCAAAAGATGCAAGATGTTATAAACTAGACGGCGGTACGTGTAGTTGATTATGAAAGATGCGAGGTGTTATAAAATAGGAATGATGCCACATATGGCGCGTGTCATCGTTCGATATAGTGCGGCGACGTACGCTAGGGGGAGCGTTGCAATAAAATCGAGTTGGCAAAATGTACGGAGGATTCATGGTTTACCAGGTTTACCTCCGGAGCTTCGCCCACTCATCATCATTCACTTCGTGGATATGGCGGCATTTTTTTGTTTGTGCTGTAAACTCTTCGTTTTAACTCAGTTTTTGGACCACAACCATCGTTGTATGCGCACTAAGACGACCTAAATTTAAATTGTGCGTGCTTTCGTGGAGTGCGTTTCGCCGGACCGATACACATACGCATACCCGCGTATGGTGGCCTGTTGTATACGGCTACGTGCCATGCGGGTCTGGAGGAAAGGGTTTGACGACATACGCGACAGGACTTTTCCCGTTTTTCATGTCGTGACCCGACAGTCATATTGCTCAACTCTCTTACCCTAATATTTTAATTTAGGTGTATACACCACGTTAAATAGGCGATCACGAGGGTACCCAGACGTGTGTGGCTATACACATAGATACGTATAGATAAAAACGCTCAAGGTGCCTGCAGTTCGCTAAGAAGTGCTTCACACTTAGGACGGCACTTTTCCGGCATTTGTATGCCGCTGGAATGTTACTGCGCATAGGAATGGGGAATGAGATTGAAAAATTCTACAAGAGGGGAAGATAATAATGGTTTTCCTTATTTATATATGACATATCTTGTTCAAATATCACTGCTATTCATCGACGCTGTGCTTTCCTCTCAACAATTGCACGCTTTTTAAAGTTTCGAATACTGTTTTTTTTTCTACAGAGCCGGCGGGCCTGAAAGTACAGATCCGCGAAATCATCGGCCAAGGAAATTTAGAGGCCCTCGAAGAGCTCGTCTTACACGGACATGGTGACCGGCTGCTGGGCGAGACGAGCCCCAATCCGGTCGTGCAGGAGTTTCTGGACATCGTGCCCGGATATATAGTGAGAAACGCTTGTGACGTAATCTGCTCTTCTCGATAGAAACTTGTGGTGCGAAGACATAGGTTTGGTGGATACGGTTGAAGCGAAGGAGATAAAGACAGTGCACGCGAAGAGACAAGCATTGTTCAGACTGTCGCATGCCTTCGATGCTATATGTGGGTTGACGGTGGTGTTCTTTTGAGTTTATTTTTCCAGGTTAGCAAGCTTCTTTAAAAGGCAATATTTTGAGAGGCCGAAGCCTAAATTAGCTGAAATACAAATGAAAAAATCACAGCGTATTCACGGAGTGAATAATGATGAGTAGAGCGAAGTGCTGGAGGGTTCTATTGCTAAAGCGTGAACCACCCGCAAATATCGCCCACTATGCATCATCGAAGACGTGACAAACAAGGTATATATTTATACAAGAAAGTTTATTATTCTTCAGTGGTAGCTATACGTCGCTTGCATTCCCCCTTCATTATAATGGCTTTATGATCGGTGAAGTGGTGAATTGGTGATGGGGCGTAGTGGTATCTTTGCAAGGACGAAGTAGTACGCAGTTTGCAAAGGGGAGACTAAAAGCGGTCACGTATAAATAAGGGATGGACACAGTAGGGCAATCTGTGGTTCTTTACCGTGCACCTTGATACAAGTACATGACCGTCTTACGTTTCATATTGGCCACTTCTGAACAGTATTTGCTTTATTGTCGGGGAAGTGGTGGATCGGTGGTAGGGCGTAGTGGGATGTTTGCAAGGACAAAGTAGTGGGCAGGTGGCAAAGGTGAAACTATAGGCAGTAACGTACGCACATTCAAGGGATGGGCAGACTCACGCCTTTAGGATCTTTACCCCTAAAAAAATGCCAGGCTTGCGTGAAAGGCGTGGCACAGTCACAGCGAAAGCTACAAGAGCGACCTTTCAGAGCCTTTTCTAAGCTCTCATTGGGTAACTGCTGCAAGCACACTTGCTGGATACCCACTATGGCATTAATAATAATAATTTTTGGGTAGTACACCAGCATTCGCAATTCTTTCTTTTTTTTGTAATTCTTCTGAGAAGCGTTGTATCCGCTAAACACTTGCGCAGAATTTTGTGCCAATTGTTCATGCAGTGGCTAACGAGGATAAGGAAATATGGCTGTAGTGGGTATGCGCAACAGTTAATAGGAGAACAAGAACAAACTTCTTAATAGGTTGAAGCGTTGGACGACCCACCCGTAAAGCTATTCATATTGTGTGACGCCTCGTTCTTGTTTTGCCGTTCTTAAAGGCTTCATTACTTATTTTAACGCGATTCCTTTCCCGACATCAAGCCTGCCTGAGGCAAACTTGCGAACAAGTCCCAAGCCCCGGCGTGGCTCAGTGGTGGAATACTAAGCTGGCACGTAGCGAACCCGGGTTTGAGTCCCGCTGTGGCCTTAATACGAAGTTTTTTTTATTATTATTTCACGACGGCGGTTACAGACACCAGCGGCGGTGACAGTGGACAACTACGGCGCCGCGCGTGACCTGAGTTTCGATCTCATAACAGCTTTAGCTATGAAAAGATGAGTATGCAAACAATTATTTCACAGAACTGATTTAGGACAAGTTAGATCGTTTCTCAAAGCCATGCGTCTCTATGCCAAATGCTTATTATTATTATTAGGATTAATAATAATAATAATAATAATAATAATAATAATAATAATAATAATAATAATAATAATAATAATAATAATAATAATAATAATATATTATTATTATTATTATTATTATTATTATTATTATTATTATTATTATTATTATTATTATTATTATTATTATTATTATTATTATTATTATTATTATTATTATTATTAACTTTCCGCTCTCACTTGCGCTTTGGTCGTTAGCCGGCGTCTTGCTAGCCCCACTAATAAATCATACAGAAACAGAGAAGTACCATAGCTCAATGATGCCATCTATGCGAGGTAAAGCAATTCTGATCGAGGCGCTCGATGCTGGTGATAGGATGTCAGGACGTGATTTGCACGTTATCATCACATCCAAAATACGCCTCAATGATTTGATTTATATTTTTTTATTTGAGCATACTGCAGACAATTCTCGACCCATGCTGGAGTGGGGATAAGGAAATACATACAAAAATAACGAACACAAATTACATACACGAAATAACAAGAAAAATGATACACTGTCAACAACTCATAATTCGAATTCGACACACTGTATTAAGTTCATGAACAATTGAGTGGTGTTAATTCACACAACATTCCTGTCTAATCTGCTCGTGGTGAATAGCTGACGGAAAAGGGAATTTTATAAGCTTTAACACGACCTAAAGGTTGGTGTATTGTTTTAGAATGGTTCTGTCGCATTGAGTGTTTACATGGGTCTAACAGGTATTGAGAACGTGATTTTAGAAAGTCGCCATGGTGTAGTTGGTAAAGAAAATTTAGTCGCGAGATCATTCTGCGTTGCGAAAGAGGTTTTAAGTTTGCTCTTGCGAGCAAGCCTGCAGAACTGCATTGATTGATATGTGGGGTTTAACGTCCCAAACCCACCATATGATTATGAGAGACGCCATGGTGGTGGGCTCCGGAAAATTCGACCATGCAGAACTGGATTGCCTCGATAAATATAAATATACAAACCTAACTGCCATTTTTGTATTCGATCTATTTTGCTAATGAGGTGCTTTTGATGTGAACTCCAGATGAGATCGGTGTACTATAAACGTGATCTAATTAGTGTTTTGTATGCATTCAGTCTGAGATGTGGTGATGCAGCGCACAATTTTTTTCTTCGGCAAGGACAGTTTTTTTTCCCGATTTCTGACACACTGCCAAAATATGTTCCCAGTTGGGGTTCGCCGAAAGTGTAATGACTAAGTATTTTACTTTGCTGCTTTTGTTGATAATTGTATTTTTTTGCGGTATATGTAAACTTAAGGGGGTTAGTCTTACTTGTGAATGAAATGAAATGAGCTTTGTATGCGTTTATTTTATGCCCTAAGTATTACACAAAAAAAAAAGGTGTTTGCAAGGAATTGATAAGTTTAACTTAATCGTCTGAGCTGTGTACGGCAGCGTACACGACTCAGTCGTCGGCAAATAGTCGCATCCGAACAAGGTTATTAACAGAAAAGTGGATGTCATTAATAAACATTAAAAATAAAAGAGAAGAGAGAATCGATCCCTGAGGTACTGCAAAACAAACATCAAGTGGTTGTGATAGATGGTTGTCGATTGTTACGCTTTGTCTTCGTTTGGTTAAGAACCGTAACGCAAAAGATCATTACCTGATATGACAAAATCTAACCTTTAAAGTTTGCTTATCTAGGGCATTGTGATAGTGACGTGAACATTCACTGCTAGAGCTGTGATGGAGGCCCAGTGGCCCAGTGGTTATATACGGCACTCGGTGACTCAACCGAAGTACACGTCTTTGATCTTGGGCATGCATGGTGGTTGCTCTCCGGTAAAGTAAAAATGCTAGAGGTCCATGAACTGCGCGATTTTAGTGCTTGCTAAAGGGCTTCGTGGGGTATAGATTACCCGGAGCATGTTGTAAGGCCTCCCTCGTAGCTTGGGTCGTTTTTGTATACGTTAAAGTCTATCAATCAACTTACATTCTTCGCAACAATTTTTCAACCGAAATGCTGACTCGACTTGGCAAGTTAGTGGAACGCACGCGCGCTTACATACCGCTGTTGGTGACCTATTCGCGCAGGAGCAGATCAGCGACGTGCATCGCGCCGTGGTTCGGGGCCGGCTGCGCGAGGTGCAGACGCTAATGAGCCACCGTTCGCTGTCGCTGGCCCGGGACTCAATGGGCGCCACGCCCATCCACAAGGCCGTCATGCACGGACACATGGACGTCGCCCAGCATCTGGCCGAGAACTTCCGCGATTCACTCAGTGCCAAGGACATTGTGAGTGGCAGCGCTAGTGGCCCGAATCAGTATTAGCCGGAAGCTATATAGGATAAACCTGTAGGGATTACTATAGAGCCCTGTAAACAATATACTGTCGCATGTGAGCATGTACCTGCCACCCAGGTGACCAGAGTCGTTACAATAGGCGTGTACACAGTGCCCCCTCCTCTCCCATAATTATAGACAACTATTTCGTGTTTGTATAAACAGTGACAGGCGCCGTCGACAAAACTGGGGCGCTTGTAGCGACGTCGCAGAGGGCAGGTTCCGCCCAGCTCAAAGCTCGCCACCGTCATCTTTGATCACGTGACGACAGGCGCAGCAGCTGCGAAGCTGCCTATGAGCACAGTTATTCGGGAAGCGTTCGCGTGGGAGGCTCCCCAACGCCCTGTGATCGGAAGCAGCTTCGCAGCTGCTGCGCCTGTCGTCACGTGATCAAAGATGACGGTGGCGAGCTTTGAGCTGGGCGGAACCTGCCCTCTGCGACGTCGCTACAAGCGCCCCAGTTTTGTCGACGGCGCCTGTCACTGTAGAAGCGAGGCAAGTCTGTCACATGTCCTTACTGCGTCGGATCTGTGCTATCTTGGTTTAAAGTGCACGGTAATGTCCACGCGAGCTTTCGATAATACCGGCAGCCGAGGACGCGAACGCCGAGAGTCGTTCACTTCCCACCTTCCCCCTATAAACCGGGGACCGAGGGTAGGCCGTCGCGAGAGGCACATCGTTACTTCATTTTAATTTTTGCTTCCGGTGCGGCCTTTCGCACTGGACCACTGTGGGGGAGGCAGTGAAACTTGTCCAAATTTGCAGAAATTTAAATTCGCTGACCACATCGCCTTACTTAATTTCACGCTTAACGCAATGAATACCCAGTACGTCTACTGCTGGAGTACTATCATAGTTAAGAACGCCTATATGCAGTTATAAAGCTAATTTAATTGAAACATATATTCATCTTTATACAGAAAGAAAGTGATCCATATGATCAATGATATTAATTGGCGAATGCAATGTTACGGGGCTATTTGGAAGCAAACTGGTATAGTACAATATAATATCGGGTCCCACCGATTATTCATATTAGACAGCATGCACTACCTTTGCACTCAGTGATGGTTATACGCTCGCTTACGGTGAGGTTATACATATATGTATTAGGGTATGCCTGTATGCAAATTTATGTTACCGTCTCAGAAATGAGATAAAGCGGGAACAGAAAACGCGTTATCGATAGGTTTATTACTAAGCACAGGTGTGTTTATTCACTTCTTTTTCCCAAACAGGAGGGCCGGACGCCGCTTCACTACGCAGCCGCTCTCAGAGACGGCCGCAAGATGTACAACATGCTCATTGCAGCCGGTTCCCCGACGACAATCGTAGATAGCGTGAGTAACAACACAAAAGAAGGAAGAAATACCGACGCAAAACAGTGTTGCGAAATGTGTGTTTGAATGAGACCATGAGGTTGTCACGATTTTCTGCCAGATGGATCCGAATTTTGACAGTGATTATGTTTATTTATTTTTCGTTCGCAGGAGAGAGGGCGTGTACGAAGAAGTCTAAATTCACGTGCTCAAGAACATTATCGAGACAGGGGCACCACCTGCGAATGGATAATGGTGCCTAAATGACTGAATTTGGAGATTAAGCACACAGCTATCACCTATTGACAAGCGACGTCGTTGTTTTTTAGATAGATATATAAATGAGCCATTGTTTTTGCTCGTAATAACCGCGTTATGTCACTGCAATTCAGGAGGCTGAAGGTAATGCGGGCTCTGATGTGATAGTTGTTCGAGTCAAGTTTACGCCGGTGTGACACGAACTGTTAGAAATGAAAGTGCGCTGGTTATTTACCCTAAACTATCACGTGGGTACTGTATCTGTGATCACCGTTAGTGCGAATGCCAAGTATAAATAAAAATTTTTGGATTTCAATGATTAGCAGAACAGCGGCTATCTGCATTTGGTGTGAGCGCTTGTAGAATCGTGTTGTGACTATTTTCTTGACCGCAACGTGCTAGGTGTGTTATGTTGTGGCACTTTCCTTGTAGAATTAACAAAAATTGAGATTACCTAAAGGAATGCTGTTGCCACTATCATTTCGCATGCAGATAGCTAAAGCATGACCAGATAATGGAATCACTGTTTCTTCCACACATGCATGTGTCTCCGGTGCTCCGATGTTTCGCACACCACAATACATTTCTTTATGGACAAACTAAAGCTATCTAATCGCCTCGCGGCAAAGCGGACACTCTTGTCATTTATATTGGTCATGCCTGAAATGTGATCTAGAGATATTCTAAGCAGATAAACGTGCGACCGGTGCCTGAGAATCACGTGAGGGCTTTATCAACTCGCTTTCTGAAGACTCCACCCTGCTTAAAATTTCTCCGACTAGGTGCTTCGTTCACCACGACATCAAGGTATACAACCCAGCGTATACTAGATATCAAAGTGATTCAAATCTGTAAAAGTAGTCCTGGCTTACACTGTTAATTTGGCATTACTCTCCTGCCGCGCACAGAAAGGCAAGACGGCCGACTACTACCTGCAGTATCCCGAGAAACTGGGACTCGAACAAATCATCAAACGCAATCAACTGGCCAACGCGACCCACCTCGGAAACACCGTCAGCAGGCTCAAAGCCCTCGCGCCCCCTTCTATACAGAGTGAGCATGTTCTCAAAGTATTGGCACATTTCGTTGATTGCAAGCTGAATTTGTCCTCTGACGAGCAGCAAGTATTTCACTTCTCCAGGCGTTACGTGCAGTAGTCTTTGAAGGGGTGGACACGAAACTTTTCAGTTGGAGGTTTTTTTTTTTTTTAGTCAAAAGCCAAGCCCTCAAGGGCCTACGGGTAAGTGCGAGAGCGCATCGAAAAATATAAATACAGTATGTTTTATAGTTAGTTTTTATTGCTACGGTACCCGGACGTCACAATAGTGTGAGATTCTGTAGACCTGCTCGCACAACTTATCGGGATGTTTCTATTGCCGCTCCACTCCATGGCTCCTTTGGAGAGGCTGAAGCGGGAAATTCGTATGTTTTTGTACCTGATATCATCACAATTAGCCATACTAATAAACTGATTCTGCGGCCTGACTTCACGATAGTATCGCCATTAGTTGGTGCCATATGCGAACATTGACTTTAATATTAAAATAAGATATCTTATCATTTGCGGGGCCTAGGCGTCCCTGCATACAGAGTAAGCTGAACTTCGAACGTTGGTGCCAGTATCCCTTTAATGCTGCGAGGTTCGTCGGGAAGCGCGCGTGGTTTAATGGAATGACAATTTAAATGGGGTAGGGTTGTGCATTTGTAAACTCAGAGTTTTGCTTTCTTTTCACATCTGATAATTGGCTAGAGGCGTCGGCGTGGCATTGGAATCAGCAATGTAAATAAGCGAAACTCAATCAGATAAACAATGCTATAAGAAACGTTGCTTAAACGTGGTTAACATCATGAACTGCAAGCGCTTCGGGCCTGAAAGGCAGCAAGTGTAATATTCAAAGGACTTCTACTTAACGCTAAGTGTTTCCTATTTGCACTGGCCCGATATCGTTACTGAGACCTGTTCAGCCAGTTTCGTCTAAGACATATTTAATTAGTTCGTTGTGCCAGCACGTTAAACAATGTCTGTAGAGAGGACTTGTTTATGTTACAGCTATACATACTGCATGATTTCTCATTGGCTATGTAGATCCTGTTGTTGCCTTAATTTCTTTTGTTATCTTTTGAACCATTGTTGTGACTGTGTTGTGGCAGATGAGATGTCCCTTAAAAAACGCAGCTTCCCGTTTAAGTATGTTTCTATTGAGAATCAAATTAGCTCAACGGAAAGCTAGATATAAACATGACGAACTTAAAATGATCCTATTTTGGGGGGTAGGGTGGAAGATTTACTGCTTTTAACTAAACTTGTAAGCGTCACTGTTTTTTTGACACATAAACAGTTTATCTGATATTAAGTGGCAACAAGAAAAAAAAAAGACGTGCTGGGTCAAACTAGCGCGTAATCAGAAAAAAAAAACACTCGAAGTTTTTTTCAAGACATCACGCTAATCTTTTCTTCTCAGAGACCATTGTTAACATGCACGAGAGGTACCATCAGTCCAACGGCGCTATGAACGGCAACCACGAAGCTCACGTAAATGGTGAGGATGAGGTGAGTTTAGTTTCTTGGAAGGTATAGAGTAATTCCAACTCAATCTAAAAAAAAGAAAACCATGTATTTTGAATAATGTTTCCATGATACCTGTGCAAACATTTTCCAGCAGTTACTGCTAATTATCTGTAGTCAATGTACCACTAAAAATAACTGCAGCTTGATCTTCTATTCAGTCGTACAACCTACATGAAGTCTGTATAATGCTTCCATGCGCAAAAAATATAAAGTTAATAACACTAAAAATAAACTTACAATATTATTTCAAACAATCCCTCTGACGCTAATAATATCCCGTGCTTTAGGAGGTATAGGTAGTAAACAGGGGTAGCATGATTATTTTTCGAGAGGAAGTTATTCAAGAAGTATTTGCTTCTGTAGATGTCGGGTGCCCTCTGCAACAGTGAGCTTTTCTTCCTTTTTTTTTTTGTTACTCGGTCTCGTTGACAAAACCATGAAAGTAATCGACAAGTGCTATATTTCTGGACATTCATTCGGTGAACGTCAGCGTTGTGAAGCTCTTATTAGGGATAAAGCTATATATAAATAAATGCCTCGGTAATCACGGAGAGGGAATGCCGGTGGGGTCGTAGTCGACGTAAAAAAAACGTACTTCGTGATCATGTTATCATTACGTCACTGGTGCGTAAATATGTGCCGTCAGATTACGTGACGTCGCATGCTGACGTTATCACTTGATATCGTGGTTTAGTCAATGCTGTGACAATCACGGAGGTTCTCCAAGATATGTGAAAGGTCTCGACGCCTCTAATTTCGCAGTAAGTTTAGTACCATGATAGGTGCGGAAAACTCGTGGGCTTTCGTGAAGGGGAATAATACAATGTAAGGAGATGTAAAAGAGGAAAAGCTGGAATGTATAGGGCACCGTGTGACTACTTTGTCATCATAATTATGTGCGAAACGTTCTGAAGTGTCGCCAAGAGAGACGCAATCTTTTTTTTTTGTTTGCTAATAATGTACTATAACAGTTTGGGTTTAGCGTTCCTAAACCACGATATGAGTATGAGAGACAACGTAGTTGAGGGCCCTGGAAATTTTAAACATCTATTAATGTTGAATGTGCACCTAAATCTAAGTTCGCAAGCATTTCATCCCTCTCGAAATGTGGAATGGGTTTCTTGACGACATATCTCTTCTGTTGCCAGAACCAGTCAGAAGGCTCCCAAGACACGGCCGAGGACAAAGCTGCCCATCTCGCCAGCCAACCAGAATCGCTAAAGAAAGTCATGATGCGGACGAAACCCATATTACCTCCGGTCATTTTGCCACGTAAGAAAGTTCTACTTTCTTTTAGACATAACCTAACATTTTATAGAATGTAGCACATTGACACGCACACTTGCTTTTTAACACGAAATGGTTTTATGCCGGGGTTCACCATGGCTCCGCTGACGAATTTCCGTCACGGATATGACGTAGTGAAACATACACTACGAAATTGCAAATAAATGAAACGAGAAGGGAAAGTTCCGCAGTGGGGCGTCGAAGCAGAGATCTCTCGCATTGTGAGCTCGCGACGCAAAGCACAATGCCATGAAGCGTAAGTTGTTACGTGAATTAACGGCAAGCCATTTATGTACACTATACCGTTGGCGGTCTTCAGAGCTCGTCCCCGCGTTTTTGTCACCAGTAGCAAGATGGCGCAACGGCCTCGCGTTGGGCCTTCCGCGTTTCTTTGAGGCCGCGCCTCCGCGGGGCATGGTCTCTCGGAATGCGCGCGGGCTTATCAGATCAGACTCGTCAGTCAAGAGAGCACGAAGGTCACTTCGCTCGCTGCCGCGGCCGCATTTACGAATGGAGCACGCTGCTCACATACGATGAATTAAGAATTGTGACAGTTGTTGGTGCTGGTCCTGCGTATACTTGTGCGTTCGTTTTGTGCGTCTTTCTTTGTGTAAGGGCGGCGTGCTGAGTTTAGACAGTTGTTTGTCCGCGCTCGTGCTGTCTACGCTCATTTCGTGCGTGCTTTCTGCATGAGGTGCGCACTGCAAGTTTCGAGCTGCTTGCCGTTCTTCGCATGATGTTCCAATTTCTTGCTGTAGCATTTTTTCTTTCACCCTTGTAGCGAAACAAAGCAAAATAAACGCTCAACTATGCCTCCGTGAAAACAAGTTTCACTTTCGTGTTACACCAATTCCTAACAAAAAAGCAACCAGCCATGTTTTTGTTTTAATAGTGAACGGCTCTCATCGGATATGAATGTTGCGCACATCGCTCTACGCAAGGCGCGCGTTTTGATGAAGCTATACTGGAATGCAACTGACGGTTCCAGCCACATTTCTCGCGCACCGAGAATAGTCGTGCGTCTTGTGAAACTTACTTGAGCACCAGCTATAACTTCAATGTACGGTGACGCATTCGGTTCAAGCGCGAACGTTCGAAACAACGAACACACTCTGACGGCTGTCAGTGGTGCGCTGCGATGTCGTTGTATACCACAAGTGTTTTGCTTTGGTTCGCCCAACAAAGTTCAATATTTTGCAATTTCTCTGCTGATCGTTGTATGCTACAAGCACGTGAATATACATAGCTGAACCAGTACCACTGAATCTGTGGCTGTGGCTGAAACATACACCTTTCAATTGTTCCAGTAACACTGAACTGACTGATTTATAGCTAAGGGCTTAATACGTGCTCCACGCAGTGCATACGTTCTACTCAGTTATAGTTAGCCACTAAGGGGATGCATAAGCACGCGTTTTTGTTCTTGTCTCTGCTTCAATAAGTGACTCAAACCCAGTGATAGGGTACGTGCTACGGTAGCGCCAGCAGTAGTTGCAGTGTATCTGCTTCTTTGCTAATGATTGTGTAACGTACCGCAAAATAACTACTGATACGGGCTATCACACCTTATAAGCAGGCCTAAACAACATTTTACATTGGTGTAACATTTGTAAGATAGAACTTGACATTTCTAACTGTAAAGCACTGAGATTTTCACGTAACCATACATGAATCGCTAACTATTCCTACAGTTTGAGCGCAATCGCACTTGAATATGTCCTGTCTCATAAGTATCTTGGTTTTCACATTACTAATTCGATATCATGGTCCTACCACATTAATCACTTCACATCCAGAACTAATTTTATGCTCAGTCACCTAAAACAAAACTTTTCTGTTGCACCAACATTTTTAAAGAAGCAGCTGTACATCACCTACATTGGACCTTTACTGGAGTACGCCACATGTGTGCGAGATACCGGCCATGTAACACTCGCTAACAAGTTAGAGGCTATCAAAAAGCGCTTGTCATGTCTCATTCTTTCCAACTATCATCGAGCATACAGTGTAACTGCCATGAAGAATAGGCCTAAACTTGCTCTCCTTGTCACTGGCAGAAAAATTGCTCACCTTTGTGCCTATACAAAAATGCACTATCAAAATCTGAAATCACGCTTAATACAGCCATGCACGTTTCATATCATCTCGCGTAGATCACCCCAACAAAATGCACATAACTCGAAGTAAAACCTTCACCTTTTTTTAGTCTTTTCTTTTGAACACATGTCGTGACTGGAACCTTCTGTCAGCATCAACCACCAGTATCACTAAACCTGGCGCATTTCGTCACACCTTAACGTCTTTGATGTAATATGCATTGAAGGTGGCTGATGTAATAGTACGCATTTGTGTTCATGACTTGCTTGTAGCTTATACCGTATTTTTCATTTTTCTTATTATTGAATATTTTGTACTTTCAGTGCTTTGGATTTTTTTCTTGTGCGTTTCGTTTTTTATCCCTCTTCTCTGCAATGGTTTAAAGCTCTGAGGGTAAAGTAAAATGAAACTGAAATAATAATAATAATAATAATAATAATAATAATAATAATAATAATAATAATAATAATAATAATAATAATAAACGTATTTTCGCATAGTGTTATTGAGCGCCCGGCAGGGTGCGAAGCAATGATTTGGCCATGAAAGACGCTGCATTGTGCAGCTGCGAAGTGGCTCGACAGAGAACTCTTCCGAGTGTATACTGTCATTCCTTTTTTGAGACAAAGAGGAGCACAGATACGGGTGGATAACCCTCTGTCAGTGATGGAACATAAATTGGATTATTGCGTTGCAGTATACTTCTGCAAAGATTATCCAATGTCGATAGTATATTTTCTAAGATTATGCTAAAAACAACCCTTTGTCTGGTCGTCTTCTCTTTATTTCAGTGGGGGAAGATTCTATGATGAGCGTTGCAATCCCGGACTCTCGTTGCCCCCTTAATATTAATAATACCCGTGGTTTTAGGTACCAAAAAACTCGATATGGTTAGTAGGGATTGACAGTGAAAGGTTCCGACAGTTTGGCCATCTGGTGTGCGTGCAACTCAAATCGCGCAGAACACGGGCCTCCACCATTTCGCCTCCATCGAAATGCGACTGCCGGGATCGAACCCGCGACCTTCAGGCCAGCAGCCAGACCGTTGCCTCCTTCCATTTTATGACTTGCATAGATCATATTTAGTCGCTACTCTGTGTGTCTCTCCTGAAATCGGGAGGAAGCGATTCGTTATTTATTTATGCCTGTCGGCAGTCTACTACATTGACCAATAAAAAAATATACTAGTACCACCTTTCGGAAAGCTGAGAACCGTTTATTTTTTTTCCTTAGGGCCACTGCTGTCGAATGCACGCACAAGGGTATCTATTTGCCATGGAGGAATTAGTTATTTGGAAATGAAAGTACATTCTAGTAACCTTTGCTGGTTTTAATTATTTCTTTAGTGATAATGGGAGCCTCAAATCAATACATTAACTATCACATCTAAGAGTTATAGTTTTCAGAAAACATTGCGAAAATTGCCGTCTACGTGGTAAATCACCTGCATTGCCACAGTGCCATACTAGGAAGACAACAAACCACAAGAACGTGTTGCTTTAGAAACTGCTATATTGCATCATTATAATAAGTGTGGTGTCGTAGCTACATTAGTACTGCGTACCATTAGTACTTTACATTAGCAGTATGACTATGAATTCTCCGAGCAACGACGCACGTTACATCCAATATTTATACTCAAGTATTCCTACTTTATTCCTGTGGTGGTTCATCCAACCACAATTACACCCGGTACAGCATTTGGCCTGCGCAACACAGCCTGCCGTCATACACAAAATTTCAGTCTCTTAGGCAATCTGGAGCTTTTGTTTCTATTTTCTACGGCTTAACGGGCTTTTTTATAGGGTACTTTTTTCTCTTGGGGACTATTCTTAAAAAAAACGCTTCAGGAGGAGCGAATGAATATGAAGTTCGTGCTAACGCATAAAAATGTATGACTATGAATTTTTTTACAGCGAAACCTGTTATGAGATCACAACTCGGGTCACGCACAGTTGTACGCTACCACCGCCGCCGCCGGTGTCCGTAACCACATCGCGTAAAAAAAAACCTAGTGTTAATGACCCAGTGAGGCTCCAACTCTAGTCCGCTGGCTTTTCGCCACTGAGTTACGCCAGTGCTTGTAACTTGTTGTCAAACTTGTCTTAGGCAAGCATGACCCAGCTCCGATGACACAGTGGGACTCGAATCTGGGTCTGCTGGGTGCCAGCCCAGTATCCTACCACTGAGCTACACCGATGCTTGTGACTTGTTGTCAAACTTGCCTTAGGCAGGCTTGATGTCGGGAAAGCAATCGCGTTAGTACTGCTTATAAAGCGTTTCAAAACAGCGAAAGAACAACCAGTCCTTGCTCAATGCGAATAGCGTAAAGAGTGGGCCGTTCAATGCTCCAACCCATTAGAAAAACTTGTCCTTTTTTCCCTATTAACTGTGGCGCATACCCACTACAGCCATAATTCCTCATCGTCGTTAGCCACTGCATGAACAATTGGCCCAAAATTCCTCGCAAGTGTTAAGTGGATACCATGCTTCTCAGAAGAATGACAGAAAATAGCTTAGCGAATGCCGGCCTACTACCCAAATAAATTTATTAATAACAACCTATTAGGTATCAAGCAAGTGTGCTTGCAGTAGTTACCCAATGAGTGTTTCAGTAAGGCAGTGAAAGGCCTCTCTTCTAGTTTTCGCTGTGACTGTGCTGCGGCTTCCGCGCGGGCCTGGCGTTTTTTTTTTACCACGCTCATTTGAAGTAACGTGAGAAAAACAATTATCGCACTCTTTTCGTTTTACGTATGTTATTTTTCTCGTAAATATTTCTTACTGAAAATGTCTAACTCATGTCATCGATTCTTGGCCGGTCCCCCTGAGTGGGTATGAACCATATTTAAGGCATCATCATCATCGTCGTCGTCGTCGTAGTCGTCGCT